CAGCCTCACGCTGCTAAGAAACGCAGCTCGTTCCAATAGCCTCGCGGGTCAAGGGTTCTGTGAGAAATGGAACTAACAAGGGCCAACACCTAGTTTCCCTTCAGTAAAGGTTCAGTCCAGGGAGCTGAGCAGCCAGCGATAAAGAACATTTTAAGTTCTTGAAAAGAGTCTCCTTTTCCTTGCAAGCCCAGGTTCATCCTAGAAATGAGTCAAGTGATGGCTGGGGTGCTGAGAGAAGAAAGGGGCGGTGATAGACTTGTGAAAGTCCCCAGCACTGGCTTGGGGAGGCTTTTCCTGGTGCCTCCCTTGGGGAAATTTCTGTGGCCTGGTTTGCCTGTTGGCACACGGACAGTGTTGTGCAACTCTGACCTGGCATCCCCTACCCGTGTCCATAATTAACTTTCTGTCCACCCGAGGCACGATGTTTGGAAATGGTTTATTTCCTCTGGTCGGATCTCTCTCTCCACCTTGCCGGGCAGAACATGGTTTTACCTTGCTTTTTCACAGCAGCCCCGGCCTACTCCTGCCAGGCTCCAGGGCACAGGGCACCAGGATGTCCCTGCAGGAAGGGACTCAAGAGAGGCCCCGAGACACGCACAGGCACCGCACCGCAGGGACCTCAAGGACCCCACCACAGGTTCTGGGCGGCGCAACTCCCTTTAGTTTTTGGTCTCCTGCTGCACATGAAGGGACAGATTGACACTGTAACAGCATTGTGGAAAAGTTGGGAATATTGTGAAATTGAGCAGAATGTGAGGGAGAGGAATGAAGTACGGGCGTGTTGTTGGGAAAAATTGTGCTGACAGACTAGCTGGATGCAGGGTGGCCACAAACTTTCCATTTGTGAAAAACACTGCATCTACGGAGCGCAATAAAGCACCCGGTCAATAAAACAAGCTGTGCCAGTAGTCCTAAAAGCCTCGCCCTGTTGTCAGGGTACAGAATTCTGATGGTTACGCCCTGCCAACTATAAAGAGCGACCACCAGTTGCTCCACAGGAGAAATAGGAGACTTTCAACTCCATCGAGCCACAGTCTACCCCTGTCCTGTAGGCTCCCTGTGAGATGGAATGACTAGGGGGGTGAGTGGTCCGTTTGGCTGCCAGGCTTGCTCTGCATGCACGCCTCCCTACATAATCATCTCTGGGTTTGCTATCTCCGCCACTGGGGATGGCATCGCTCCGACTGAACTCTATCACTGACCAACCTATGGACACCTTCGGTCACAGATGCCCTTCAATTCTGTGGACGTAAAACACACCTTCAAATTACCAGGTGGCAGCCACAGCCCTGGACAAACTGCACAGTGGCTGCTTCTGAGTGACAGTTGAAGGTATTTCGACCTTCAGGTCACTAATGACAACAGATAAATAGTGGTAGGTTGGTTCCTGGAACAATGGGGCAGGCACCCAGCGAAAGACTACACAAGATGAACTCCCTTGGGCTGCCTCACTTTTCCTACTTTGCAAGCCAAATGACAACCCTGCCGACTGGCAGCTTTATTCGATCTGTAGCTCTGCAAGGCCAGGGTTGTGGCACCAGCAGGCACGCTGACCCACTCCCAGAGCAGCCAGGCGGGCTCACAGGAGAAGAGCCATTCCAGTGACTGTCCCCACTTTCCAGGAGGGCAATGTTGCCCTTCAGTCCTAAAGGTCACCCCCAGATCCTGCTGGCCCTGGCCTCTCCGGGACGTCACACATCCTGGCATGGGGGAAAGCCGGCATTCCACAGCACAGGAACTGAGAGACAAGGAAACCTGGGCGGAAGGAGCCCCAAATCCTGGGAACTGGAAAGCCGAGGTGTGGAAGGAAGCCGGAAGGGAGCCTGGGACGGGAAGAGGAGGTGGCACCAGGTTTCCAGGGCATCGGTGCAATCTCTGCCAGCTGCCAGTACTCTGTCCCGTGGCAGCTGAGTGCTGACTCAGCCGGCTTGCACGGCGCGCCCGTCCGTGGGGCAAACTGCTGGAGAGGTGGCCTGTGGGGCCGTGCTGGAGCAGGGTTTGATGTTTCTATTTACAAGAAGACTGAGAGCTGACTCACCGCTGGTTAGGAGAACACTCAATCTCTAGCTCTTTGAGTTGGCAGGTGCCTTTTTGTTTGTTCTGGGTCGGGGTGTAGGGATGAAATGAGTTTTTAAAGGCAGGGGAAAAAAAGAAACACACAAAAAGGTTACAATTCATGCACACGGAGACAGAGTTAAGTTTGGCTCCTCTTTGTCCTGGTCCCTGCACTATCAGGCTACCAGCACACATGGACATTTTAGAATCTTGTACAGGAATCTAGGAAATGCTCCTTTCCAGGCCCCATCCTGTCAGGGCCATGAATCTGCAAAACAGAACTTAGACGTTGGCTGTCGGAGGGCATGGTTGGGAATGCCATTTGGGGTGGGGGTGAGGGGCAGGGAGGGCAACCTCATGTTTTAAGAAATAAAGACCAAAATGCCTTGAATTTCTGACCAGTCTTTCTGCAGCGTGGACTTAAAGTTCAGGCCAATCCTACAAGCGTGGTGATCTACTTCTACTAAAGCTGGCGACCTAAGAAGGGGTTACAAATGTACAGTTGCAGCTGCACAATCCCACTCATTGAGGCTACCTATGTCCTGGGCCTGGCCAACCTGGCTGGCTAAGTGCTTTTTAAACCGGTGGAGCAATAGGGTACATACATGCACAGGCTCCATCCAAGGCTCTGGGCCCAACCACTCCTGCTCCATTCACTCACTCACCCACCCACTCACTCACCGCCATCAAGTTAATGCTAACTCACCGTGACCCTACAGGTCAGAGTAGAGCTGCCCCTGTGGGTTTCCTGAGAATGTCGATCTTTTAGGTGTAAAAAATCTCATCTTCTTCTTAGGGGTATTTTTAACTGACAGAGTAGCGA